CCATTCTATGTTACAGAGAAGGGGGAGGGAGTGGGGAGGGGGTGGTGATCAGAAAGGAAGGGGGAGGGACAAAAAGTGAGGGGGGAGGGACAGAAAGTGAGGGGGGAGGGAATGGTAAGCAGCAAGGGAGGAGGAGAGAGTAAGGGAGGGAGGAGGGACGAGGAGGGAGTAAGGGGGGGGGGGAGGGAGTGGTGAGTAATGGTGAGGGGAGGGAGTGGTGAGTAATGGAGGGGGTAGGGGATGGTGGGCATTGACTGATAGAGGGGGAGGGAATGGTGATGCTGGGCCCTCATCCCCATTCACACATGGTCGTTGGGGCACATCGTTGACGCATCATTGCATTGTGTCGTGTCGCCGTCCTCACATCACGTGTTTTGTCATCATCCTCACGTGTTGTGTCGACGTCCTGTTGTCCCCCTTTGTTGTCATGTTGTTGACATGTCATCGTGTCGTTTGTGTCGTTGTGTCATCTTCATTGTGTCATTGTGTCATTGTGCCATCTGTGTCGCGTGTCGTTGTGGGTTTGTGGGCTGTTGTGGCCGTTAGTGGGTGCTGGTGGGCATGGTGGGCCGTGTCTCATCATCTGTTGTTGGGTCAGATGAGGTAGGTTGGGGTGGGGTTGCTCACCAATGAACAACGATGAATGACGAATCAATCAGATTCATCGTTTGCCGTTTGGTTGCCACGTCGATGTTGGTAATGTGGCACCTGGAACCTGTGTCAGAGGATGAAAAGGGTGGGGATGGGTACTCACTTTGGGTAGACAACATCGCTGTGCGTTGTCACCGTCCGACAACGCTGGATTGTCGTCGTCACTGAGGATGGATGATAGCCAAATCAAGCGTCGGCGTTTGCCAATGACCGTTCTAGGAAAGCGGTCAAACAGTACATATGTATAGTACAAAGTACTTACTTTTATCAAAGGTATCTTGGTGCAGCTGGTTTAGCATTGTGTTCCATATGCTGGAGCTCCTAAGGTTGAGTGTTCAACTCCCTGATCTTGCATTTTTTTTATGTTATATAATAATAATAAAAGTCTGCCAGAATTCCGTTGGATTTGTCCACTGGAATTCTGTTGGCACATGCAGGTCATTTCCAGTGGACTGGCTGCTAGTTTGCTGTTAGTTCATCGGAAGTCCACCAGAAAAGTCCAATGGACTTTGAGGTCCAACCAGAAATGCTCGGAAAAGCTTCAGACATTCACCAGAAAAATTGCTGCAGTTGCAAAGCAGAAAAATATCTGTTCTGCATACCCTCAGTCTGACGGAGTCCGGCCGGAGTCTGCTCGGAAAAGCAGTGGCAGCGTAAAGACCTCGGTTTATTGGGCGCGAAATGATGGCAGTGCTGTTGGGGTGGGCAGTTCTTGTGAAATGGGCAGAATTGGGAAGTTTGTGAGGTGCAGAACAAGAGGTGCTGGGCACCATTGGTGGAAAGGGAGTGGAAGAGTGTGTGGGTGCCGTATAAACAATGGGAAATGGGAGTTGAAGAGTGTGTGGGTGCCGCACGTGGATGGGCAAGGTAATTGGTAAAAGAGGGTGGGGAAGCGGGGTGGAGGGTGTGTGGGTGTTGTATGCGAGCTGGTGATGGATCGTGGTGCTGCCGAATTGGTCAGTAGGTGCTAAAATTGAGGGGGGCCCAACAGGGTTTCAGACCTGTTGTTAACATTGTCAGTGGGTGGTGAGATGGAGATAGCAACATGTGACTTACCTGTGGGACCCACAAACATAGTTCTACACCGAAACGAGGGACAGAGGGTGGTGATGGGGGGAGAAGAGGAAGGGTGGGAAGAAATTGTGTTGGTGTGACGGATTCATCACACAACTTGCCATGTGACTTTCAAATATATTTGGGAATGCTCACCCCACAAGCTGAACAAAATGCAAAAACCCAATGGTCAGGACTGTACAGCACAGTTATCATTATAACTACTAGCCACAATATCTATACTTTACTATGTAGATATTAGTTGTTTATTATTTACTTTCTTTTTCAGTAATAATACTAGTAACAAGCCCTGCTTGCTTGCATTCCGTGGGAAATCCATTGGACTTTTGTTGGTCGCATCCATCGGAATTCCATTGGTCTTGGTCATTTCCAGTGGACTATAGCTGATGGTTTGCTGTTAGTCCATTGGTAGTCCACTGCCAAAAATGCTTGGAAAAGCATCGGGAAAAATACTGCACTTGCAAAGCAGAAAAATCTCTGTTCTGATTACCCTCAGTCCAACAGAGTCCACTTGGAAAAGCAGTGGCAGCATAAAGACCTCAAAAAATGCCACATTGCCATCAGTGACATAGCATCCAGATGATGAATGACGAGTAAGTGCCCCCCCCTCCTCGATCCCATCCCACCCCACCCTGCTAATGACTACCAAAATGCAACACAACAACAACAGGACACAACAACAACATGCCACAACACAACAACAACAATGCAACATGATGGCAACATGACACAATGATGGTGACACAACACAACGATAACACGTGCCCACATCATCGAGCCTTCCTTCCCTCCCTTTTCCCCCCTTCCTTGAGCCTATCTTTGTCCTCTCCCCTCCCCTTTCTCTCCCCCTTCCTTGTCCATCTCCCCGCCCTTTTCTCTCCCCCTTCTTTGTCCATCTCCCCTCCCTTTTCTCTCCCCTTTCCTTTTCCATCCCCCCTTCCTTTTCTCTCCCCCTTCTCTGTCCCTTCCTTGTGTGTGCCTTTCTTTGCCCATCTTTCCCCCCTCCCTTCCATCCCCCCTTGCCCCTTCCCTGTGCCTCCCTGTTCCTTGTACTTCCCTTTGTCCATCCCCCTTCCCTGTGCCTCTCCCCTTCCTTTGAAAATATATTTGATGTTATAATTGAAATACATTAAAACTTGATCTCTATTTGCCATGTGAGTTTTTAAGGAATTCTGAATATCAAGCTATCAGTATAAGGTAACTTCAGAATGTAGTAGAATAGATTTATGTAGTTCTACTGAATATACTACAATCTTCTAAGTTCAAATCTAAATGTGATAAGAAATTCTTAGAATCAAGCTATCAACATAGAATAGAATGATAAATTGGTTGACTACATTACACAAGTAATTCAGAAGGTCTTGAAAAGTGCACAATCACATTAATAAGGAGATTTTCTGTCTATTCCAGTTGGAATCCTCCAGAATTCCTGGAATCCAGCTGGAATCCGCAGAATCCGGTAGGAATCAGTGGAGAAATGGAAAGTATTGAACATTTTCATTGAAATCTTTGCAATCAGGATCCTTCCCGGATATCTCTTGTTTGGAGGTTGTTAGTTTCTTTAATGTCACTTTAAACTTGTGACGGATGTTTAGCAATAATATATGAAACTTGGTGGATGTTTTGTTGGTGTAGAGCTCAAGGTTTACATCATTTGGAGATAGGCCCTCAGCAAGTTTAAGGATATCAGGGATGTCCACACCAGTGAAGTCATGAACCTCCTTGAAAAAAAAAACCTTTGTGAAGTTCTTGAGAAATCATCAATCACAACCTCAGTCTGGGCATGTGCCTTTTCAATGGTTTGCTGGCACATTAGCCATCCAGACAATTCAAATATGGCAAAGATAGGTGTTTATTGTAAAAACAGCAGGCCATGTTGTGAAAAGAACAAGCCATAATGTATCTTGTCAGGTATGCACTAAGTTCAGGCCAGGAATGGCAATCCTCACTTGATTGGCCTCCTGAGGCTGTCACTGACAATTCATAGATGGGTGTATAGTGATGGTGGTTTCCTGTTCTGCAGTATGGGTGTGAAAGGTACAATTGTTATTATGCTGCACTCACCAATAGTAATCATTTGAGCTCGCAAAAGCAAGCCCCCTCCACTGAAAGCTTGTGTCCCTCAAATTCCAACATGGTGCCTGTTTCATCAAAACTGGAGTAGAACCAGCAGGTGGCACCAACAACTTATTTGATTAGAAAATGAGTGCTGCATAGGTAGGAGGAATAAGAAAAACAAAACAAAATAAACATAACATTGCCCCTGGCATGCTCAAAAGCAAGGTGAGCATTGCCTGGTAGTGTAACTTTGAGATGTAAGAAAGGCAAGGAAAAAATGGCTTGATCATTTTGATGACAGTGGTGCAGAAGGCTGCATCAGTGTAGTGTAAGATGGGGTAGTGTGGACACTGCTCCAGGTCAAGAGACACTGTGATGTTGTGGGTGTGGTCTATGTTGAAGGTGTGCATGAGCTTGAAGTAGCCAGCAGAGCTGGGCTCCAAGGAGTAGAAGGAAGTGGGTGGAGAAAAGGTGTTGCAAACCATATTAGTGCTGAGGGTGTGCATATTCTCCATTACATCACCTTTCATCTGTCTTTCCTCCTTTTCTTTCTCCTTTTGTCCATCTCCTTGAGGTCTTTATTGTCCCCCACTGATTCCTGCAGGATTCCTGAGGATTCTTGCACAGTCCCAGGACTGAGTATTGGTTGATGTACCAGCCAATTTTTTCAGTCCTGTGGGGGTCCATTCCTGAGGATTTTCAGACAGGACTAGTCCCAGGATTGATGCATGTGATGAGTCACATGACCCACAAACATGTGCTTGGAATGCATCACATGATGTGATGCATCCTGTGCACATGTTTGTTGATGATGGTTCTCATATGTGACATGTCACGTCACCTCTCTCTTTCATCACCACCCACCACCACTCACCCACAACAACAACAACAACGGCCACAACAGACAACCACAACCACAACATCAACAACAACAACAACAATGGTGGTGATGCCCAACAAACGGTGCCACCACCAAATGGCTGACGTTGCACACCCATCCGGGTGTGCCATGTCAACGGGCACCTGGAGAGGGAGTTCAACCGTTGGAGGAAGGATAAGAGCATTGGAAGGATGGGGAAATGCATCATAAGCTCGATATTGGTGTCCAGTAGCCTGAAGGTAGACAAGGAGAGCATCATAAGCATCCTGTGGAAGATTTGATGCCTTTTTGAAAACTGCTGCCATTTCAGCAGAGTCCAGGGGAGTGGGTGAGAAATCTGAAGTTTTGACAGCTAGTTGTAAAATATTTGCAAGGCCATTCATTCTACCATCTTGTAGTCCATCTTGCAGCAAAGCATCTACTCAGCCTCTACGACTCATTTGGTGAAGCATCGTTAAATCAAGATCTCCTGTATACTCAAATTAGAAATTATAGTTTGCAAAATAATTGTAAAAAGATACGAAACCTCCAATTTGTTTTGATCTTCTGCAACATGCCATTCATCTGCTCACCTGCAAACTCACTAAGAGGTGGTAGAGGACCCCAATATTTTAGTAGAGCCCCATTGTGCATGGCGTAATGATGATTTGGCTTTGAGTGAACATGAGGGAATAGAGCTTGGATGGATTGCCGATATTGAATGTAGTGACCAGTGTATTCATCAGCACTGGCATTAGAAGTCTTGAAGGATGATAGTATGTTTGTGGCTGCAACAAGATGGTGAAAGGATTGGAGATGTTGGTGCTGAAGATTTGTCATTGTTTCAGAGTGCCAGAACTCTGAAATTATAAGTGGAAAGATACAGCTGAAGAGCATGAGGTACTCATGAGCTTTCAGCTTCCTGTGACTTGGTTCTCCAAGGTTTGTTGGAGGTCACTGTGCCCATGTTGGGAGAGTAACATTAGAAATGCAGTTTAGAATCGCTTGAAGCTGTGCATCCATGAAGGTAAAGTGTTCTTTGGTGTCAGGAATATGATCTGGATCTCCAAGTAACTTCATCATCCTCATCCTGCATGTCAAATGCATAGGGATGTGGTTCATCTTGAGTTGGTGTTCAAGAGAGTGTTGAAGATCGGCCAGAATGCTGGGATGAGAATGAAGGTT